ATTGTCGATTGCGTGTCGCGTTCAGCTCGGGAGCCCAATGATGACTCGAAAAGGGATGTAGGTGCGTCAATCACGATCACGACTGACGATCCGTCAAAGCAGCTTGTGAGAGACAGGTTTTCGCTCTTGAAAGACTTTGTTTTTGGGTGGTCGAATTCTGTTCAGTTTCTCGAAGAAATCTGGTTTATCCATGCCTTTGAAGGCTTTCCTGTTATATTGCCTATCTCTTAATGGCACTTTCGTCGCGTAGGAGAAGCTCTGTCTTCGACCCCCGACCACATTACCTGGTGAAAACTCGGGCTGAGCTTGGCCTCCCACCGCTGTAGTACAGGTGCTGTAGTACAGAAGCAAGTATTACTTGCCAAGTAACTAGGTTACTGTAACCCCAAGTTGAACTTCAAGACTTGAACTTAGTTCAAGTTCAAGTTCACCTTGCTTCAAGTTGTTTCAAGTGGCACCTCATGACGCACGACGAACGTGGCGGTCCAGTGGATGATGAACTCGACATGGAAATGCTTGGGATCAAAAGTATATCTCCTTATTACTTACCATGGTATGAATTACTGTGCAGTTGCATCTCCGAGCGTTACAGGCGAGTGAGAAAATAGATGCGCTCGACGGAGCGAGGTGAATTGCCATGAATCGCCATGCGAAGACTTGTAATCGCTCGCCTTGATGATCGATTCCAGCCGTTGGGGCTTTTACGCACAACAACCAGTTCTGAGCATCACTACGATACTCTATCTATGCGGAGAGCTATTCTTAATGCAGAACGAGCTTTTTTATAAACGAAACGTGAGTAGAGATCAGTAAATAGCCATTTTTGTTAGATTTCCTGGAAATTCAAGGGTCGTGGAAATTTTTCCGAAATTTCCTTCGGAAGTTTCAGGAATGGAAATTAACACTTGCAAAAATCACACCCTGGCCCTCGTCGGTGACATCACTTGCCACTATTCCAGAACCGCTCATCGTAGCATGCGTTGTTCGGACCCGCTCAAGTACTTGCTTGGCGATGTCAGGGGGAAGCTTAGATACCACTGTCCTCGTCATGAATCGGAGCTCACTGTTATCACCGGGAAATACCACATCATATATATGATGAATACCTTCAACCTTACTGATGAAGTCCTCACAACTGACAATTCCATCAAAGCTGAGCATCTTCAAGCGACGCTGATACTCAGATTTCAGCACGGGCCTCCGGGCATACCGCCGGTAGAGGTAGTCAATTAGAGGCTGCCACTTATATAGGTAATCATTGGCTTTATCTGTAGCGGCCTCATTCATGCTCTTATCCTTCAAGGTGCTCAAAAGGGCAACTGTGAGCGAGCATTCCAACTCCGAATGAGGCACAAGTCTCTCACCATCGGGGCCAGTTGAGTAAACACCACCACCAGCTTCTGAAGTCATCCGCATGAAGGCAGATAAATGGGCTCGTAGACGATATGGATCCGTCAGAGAGGGAAACTTCATCTTTCCCAGAGTCTCAGAAGAAAGCCTCTTCTTGGGGGTATTAATATCCGTAGAAGATAACGGTGATACAGTAGCAGGACCAAGAGCCAAACGACGAGGATCCACCTTAATAGATCCGTAGGACATAACATCCGACTTCACATCATCGTCCTTGTTGACAGCTAAGATACTTGGTCGATTGGTGAGAAATAACTCATCATACCGCTGCTGGACCGTACCCAAATCAACTTCAAATGCCTCAATGCGGTCTTCAGACTCTTTTTCCCTTCTAAGTAACTCTACATAGGCCTCATCATCAGAAGGAGTATCAACCGCCACGAGGTTATCGATATCAGACCGGATCTTCAGGAGCTGACCTTTCAGACGGCCAAGCTGTCGACGAAGACCAGTACGTTGCTTGCGAAGATCATCTTTAATAGTCGAACCTTCGTTGGTAGCCGTCTGGCCGGCGGGGGCTGGGTCAGACCCATCGTGGAGCGCCATGTTGGTGGTTTGAGGCTCCCCAGCTCCCCTAACCGTAGACTCAGTATTACCAACCATAAGACTTTGAGAATAGTAAAGGAAAAATATGATCTTAACTCTCTATCCTAACCCCAGGCTATACTAGCTCAGCGCGGATCTACCGCGCTAAGTCTTTGTGTACTGCTGTCCCAGGGACTCTGTCCCTCTACATACATGTCAAAGTCACTACCCGGATTTGATCTGGGGTTGTCACGGCCACAACGTGACGTCCTAACCACTAGACGATAGCGACCCAAAAATGTGGGCCGTTGTCGGTCCACATGGATCACCTATCGCCAAATCTCTTCAAGAAGCGTACAATTTGATACATACCAAAGTCACTACCCGAATCTGAACCGGGGTTGTCACGGTCACAACGTGACGTCCTAACCACTAGACGATAGCGACTCAAAAATGTGGGCCGTTGTCGGTCCACATGGATCACCTATCGCTAAACCTCTTCAAGAAGCGTACAATTTGATACATGTCAAAGTCACTACCCGGATTTGAACCGGGGTTGTCACGGCCACAACGTGACGTCCTAACCACTAGACGATAGCGACTCAAAAATGTGGGCCGTTGTCGGTCAACATGGATCACCTATCGCTAAACCTCTTCAAGAAGCGTACAATTTGATACATGTCAAAGTCACTACCCGGATTTGAACCGGGGTTGTCACGGCCACAACGTGACGTCCTAACCACTAGACGATAGCGACTCAAAAATGCGGACCGTTGTCGGTCCACATGGATCACCTATCGCTAAACCTCTTCAAGAAGCGTACAATTTGATACATGTCAAAGTCACTACCCAGATTTGAACCGGGGTTGTCACGGCCACAATGTGACGTCCTAACCACTAGACGATAGCGACCCACAAATGTGGGTCGTTGTCGGTCC